AGTAATTTAATGGCATGAGATGTCCAGATTGTCTAATTAATATAGTTTTATGCAACATTGTTTTTTGAGACTGGAATACTGGCTAAGGATACTTTTCTGGTAAGATCCACTTGGTCTTCTGAGGTCATCTTGTGATCCTTGTCTCATGTCTGCTCGACTGTTTGGCATTCTTGGAATGGAATGTGAAACCGAGTGGACGCCACCACTGTAGTAGTCGTGGCAATGCAATTTACAGCCTGTTAACCCTGGAATTAGCTTTGAGCCTGGAGAGATACCGTCCAAATGTTGTCCTTCATCACTGCGGATCCTCAGATTTTAACAGATTTTAACCTTTGAGTAGGTCAAGGAAAACCATATCCTGGACCTCTCATGTTTGCAGATATAACCTTGTGCATGACTGGACTGGAAAACAGGTTCTGTAATGACTGGCTCCAAGCTAGATAGCAGGAAATGCAATTACCCTTTCAAGAAACTGCATTTACAGACCCGATTGTAAATGGCTACATGTAGAATGACTTTGGTATAATTACATAAAAGTCCAGTGTGCAAATCATACTATGAATGTCAGGTGATTGACTTAAAAAATATATATATTTTATATATTTAAAGGCAATTTTTGAAGTGTAATCTGTTGAGATTTGTCTCATGCAAGCATAATGAAATCAAAATTAATTTTAGTGCATTATCTTAAAGACTTTTCTGTGAAATCCTTCACTAAAAAAATGTGTTCGAAACTATTTTCTCACAGAAATCGCAAGTAAATTTCACAAATAATTACAAAGAAAAGGCAAGTGACATGATTAACTGTGAAATTTTGAAGTAGAAAAACAAATTTATTTCTTAGTATGCTTGTCTTGTTTTCCAGTACAAATATCACAACATTCTTAAACCAAGACACATTTACTTGAGAAACAAAGTGATTTACAATATTACATTTGTTTTTTCCTGAAATAATGTAACAAATAAAGTAAAAGTTTAAAACAAACAAAAAACATTTAGACCACTTAACTTAATGATTGTTATCGGGATGTGAGGAGACTTTCTACCAGCATATAACAAAAAATGTTTCTGAAGACAATCACCTCCAATGTCTCCGTTGATGGAAGCTTCATTCTACTTCAACAGAACACCTCTTCAGTGACCATATCACCTGTCAAATCTCTTTTATGAACCATGACTAAATGTATTTGGCCAGGCACAGCAAGCTAATGCTGGAAAGCCACTTCAGTGGAGCCATCAATTTAAGGATATAGACCACAGATAATATCAGGCAGGAAGAGAAACTTGGATCTGTTCTTTTCTGACTGAGCTTGACTCTGGCAAATGGTTTTAAAATCCACTAGATATACTGCCTTTATTTCTTGGGACGTTTTCGTACAGCCTGCAGGCTACAAGATTTTGTTGACCTGGGGAGCTGAACCGTGAGGGCAGCAGAGCTAAAGAAGAACTGGGACACGCTGGCAGACTTCAGACGCCGTCATCTACTTCTTGCCCAAACAGACTAGCTTAGACTTGTGTGTCAAGAGCTCTGGAGCCACCAGAATCAAATGAGGTGTGTGCAATAGCTTAATGCAAATTCAAGAGTTTATCCTGACCTGGGAAAGCAGTGACTAAGACTAATTTAGGATCAGGAACATGGAAGGAAACCTTTTTTCAGTGAATGCTCAGTACAGCAGTGTGGGTTTGAGGAGATGCAGGTTAGATGATGTTTAGAAGTATATAGACAAATACTTAAAATTCAATCAAGTAACTTATCAATCATTGTTCAATAATGTAACTTAATTATCAAAGATTATCAATAGGATTTTGAATACAACTTATTATATATAAATACATAAATAAATCTTATTTATTTATTTACTTGCTGTATTCAAAATCCTATTGATAATCTTTGATTAAGTTGCTTGATTATTTAATGGAAAGTATTCATTAACTTTGAGCCCATTTAATTATGAATGGAACTTAAATAAAATTTAAAAAAATATATTTATTTATTTATGACTCTTAGCCTATTTAATTTGGATGGATCTTGTTTAAATAAAATGCTATTCATTCATTCATTCATTCATTCATTCTTATCGTTCCAAATGTCTGAATTGGGTTCATACTTTTAGTTCCATATACATATATTCTTCATCTATTTTTTAATATCATTAAATATAATTCCTTATTCCAGTGTGTGTGTGTGTTATAGTCGCTTCCTTAAAAGATTTGCTTGATGTGCTTGTTTGTGTCAGACACCGCCAGCAGCTGAATCATCACAGACCATCAGTGCCTTAGACACACTTTAATATGCAGCGAGTTAATACACGAATGGAGGCAGTGTGAGTGTTTGTGTGTGCATATGCATTAATGCATGTTAGCGAGTAATCAGCATAATTATTTCAGATGCGTTGCGAGATCAACTTGATAATGCACAAACACAATCTTTAGCTCTTTTAAAACCACAGATTGTGATCATTTAATTTAATTATGAATGGAACTTAAAATAAAATTTAAAAAATATATTTATTTATTTATGACTCTTAGCCTATTTAATTTGGATGGATCTTGTTTAAATAAAATGCTATTCATTCATTCATTCATTCATTCTTATCGTTCCAAATGTCTGAATTGGGTTCATACTTTTAGTTCCATATACATATATTCTTCATCTATTTTTTAATATCATTAAATATAATTCCTTATTCCAGTGTGTGTGTGTGTTATAGTCGCTTCCTTAAAAGATTTGCTTGATGTGCTTGTTTGTGTCAGACACCGCCAGCAGCTGAATCATCACAGACCATCAGTGCCTTAGACACACTTTAATATGCAGCGAGTTAATACACGAATGGAGGCAGTGTGAGTGTTTGTGTGTGCATATGCATTAATGCATGTTAGCGAGTAATCAGCATAATTATTTCAGATGCGTTGCGAGATCAACTTGATAATGCACAAACACAATCTTTAGCTCTTTTAAAACCACAGATTGTGATCATTTATACTATTAAGGCTGGAAGGAAATTAAACTTCTCTGAAAAAAAAAGATGTTGGGATGGAGGTTTGACCAAATAATAGTCGGAAGGAATGAGGTAAGTGGCTGTTTATATGCAATTATCATTATGACTGGTGGGATTCCGTGAATGCACATTTTGACATTCACTACCTCAGCTTTATAATCCAAAAATTTCAACTTGACTTCTTGAAAACTCACAGATTAGATTTAATAACAGTATCAGAGCTAGAAGGAAATTAAACTTTCCAGGCAAGAACAAGCAAATAATTTCCTGACTTTTAATAAAATCTTTCCACTATCTGGATAAATCTTGAGAAATTTATGAGCATCTGCAATGCATGCTCTTCCTTCTGAATAAAACATTACTTTTGCCGCTTGAAATTTATGACGGTACGCTGGAACGTTTCTAGACCTACCGGATAAACGGCTGAGGGAAGCTATAAGCTGGACTGAAAAAAACAACAACGTCAAGATATTCTTTAAGCTGCCTGTCACAGAAGAATGAACTGAGATTTATGTCAAAGGAAAAGAAACTCCTAGTACTGAGCTGAAAAATGGCCTTCAGCGTCCCACAAACCTGTGTCACGGCTCATGTGATTTATGAGTTCGATGAGGTTTCGACTTTAGTGTGGGAAGCAGCTGCCAAAGTGTTTTGACAGCACTGAGACTAAATATTTGACCGGCCCCCCTCCAGAATATACACCCCGGCCCTCAGAAGCCCACAGCACGGCAGGGAACATCCACCCAAGATGAGCAGACAGGACTGATCTATCTTATCCAAAATTGGGTGACAGGACCTCCGATGAGTTTGCGTTCCGCTTCATTTAGGGAGATTTGTCTGAAGAGGGCGAATAAAGCAGAGTAAGCAGGGCTGCGGCGTGCATGGTGCTCGGTGAAGAAGAGAGAACATTTTGCAAAGAGAGAAGAGCCTCTAACAGAGATAGAGATCTAAGTGCTCATGGCCCTCACATCTGGCAGCTGAACAGACAACATGACTGATTACATGAGGGGGGATTTTTTCAGCCTCTCCATGGAGAATAGTTTTAGTGAAGACGGAATGACAGAGAGACGGTATGAAAGCACTGGCTCATATCACGATAGAGTCCAAGGATGCCAGACAACTGACATACGTAAAGAAAAGAAAAAAGAGCAATCGCTCCAAATTCATTGCAATGACTTGACGAGTTTTCTTTCCTGATGTTTTTCCTATAAGGATGATTTTACTGTTTACTATAAAAGCGTGGTGGACATGTAGAGTGGTCTTTTATTTTATTAATATTATATTATCTTCAAGTTATATTTGGAGATTTGAAGTACATTAAGTGCACATTCAATACAATTAAGTGCACTTCTTTTTCACAATTTCTTTAATCACAGTATAGCATCCCAGCACCAACATATCACATACTGGCTCTTTGTGGAAGAATGTTCAAATAGTAACAGTTTTAAAAATGGTTATTATGTATGATTAGTGTCAAGTAATTTTAATTATGTGGTCAAATGTGTATTTAACCAGTACAGATGCTTAATGTGCATCTGTTTAGCATTTTTATCTTTCATATGCATCATTTCTCAGGCTTTAAATGTGTTGTGTTACTTGTTTTTGGGCACTTTTTGCCTCTTTTATACAGACAGGACAGTAGGAAACAAAGTAAGAGAGAAAGAGTGGGCCCAGATTGGAAAAGACCACAAACCGAGATTCAATGTCAGGTCATCCATGGTGCAACCGCACTGCATGTCAGAGCGTTGCCCACAAGGACAACTGATGTTGTCATTGATAAAAAGGAATATGTACAGTATATTTTACTATAAACCAAATGGATCACAACAATTCATAATAATTCCATCCGAAACAGGATGTTTGGGCCGGACTTTCTGAACAGCGAAAAAATATCCCATAGGCTTTAGTTACCACACATACATGAGCCATGATGTGCTACTTGCTAGTTGGCTGCAGGTGGTATTAGAGGCAGGGACATTTTCTTTTTTTTGGAATACTCCAGCATATAGATGACTTCAAAGCTAACACACATGGACTAAAAGTCTCCTTTTTCTCCACTCCGTTCCTTTTTTAAATTAATCATCCGTCCGAGCCTGAGAAGGTAGGTTTAGAACAAGAACATCTGCAAATAATTCAGATTAATAAACATAATAGCGTTAGTATGATTAGTATGGTTAATATATTGCAGCATAGTAGCATAATAAATGTCCATGTTGGCAACACCGGTTGGTTTGTACTATTTAAGTGGAAGTGTCCTTTCGGATCCCTTAAGATTCATCCTCTATGTTTCCCTCTTCTGTCTGACTAATCCACAAAAGAAAGTCAATTTATAATGAATTCATCATTTCTTATGTCCTGTAGTAAGGCAGGGGACGGTATTGATTATTACTGTGTAGGACACTCAGAAAGGTCAGCCTCCAATTGCACCAATGTTGCCCTGCAATCTGGAGATGGCCCTCTTGATTCAGAGCCGCTCCAGTGTGCTGGGAAGCCGTGTGCTTAACGGGTCCTGGGACAGATTAACTTCCCACTGCAATCAATCAATCTCCTTCTGTCAGCCATTTGCAAATCCACAGGGGGGAGGGGATGGGGCATCCTCAACAAAAGTGGCCTACCCACAATCCCTTGCTCTGCGGGGTCAAGGGCGAGACTTACTGTGTGACTATGAGCGCAGGGCCTCTCAGAGGTCTGACCTGCTCAGGTTTTCCATTCTGATGAGTGGGTTTGCCTCAGAGACTAATTGGCAAACAAATTGAACATAATGACGCTTTTTCTTGCATAAACTTTGATTGTTAATCCAGAACATATGGCCTCCTTTTTCAATGGCCCATAGTGCTTTGACTTAAAACATATATGTGGAAGTATTTTATCTATGACAATAAATATCGAAATGTGTTGTATCTAGTTTCTTCTAATAATAGGAATAGGAAATTCATTACTGAAACCAGTTATTAAATATTATTTTCACCAAATTTTTTAAATCCAACATGTTGTATCATGTTTTTAAAATACATATTTATTATGAATAAATACATTTACATAATTATTTATAATGAAATTACCATTAATTTAAGTTTTGAAATATATATATATTTAAATTATGATGTATAAACTCCTATATAAATGTATTTTGTGTAGTCATTATATCTTAGCCTTATTTCTCAAATTATAATTTCAGTCTTTGTCTGTTTTTCTTTTCTATTTGCTGTATAATAGAAGTCTTTCCTCCATATGTTATAAGGCATATGTTGTAACCTTAGAATGGATAAACCGCTTAAGCTCATTATGGGCAGCTGCCTCATCATAATATGCTGTATCTGTAGGTACATGTTCGCATCAATCAGCTAAATTCAAGTTAAATTAATTCAGATTCATGAATGCCTTTGTTGGGTGTAAGCATGTTCAAAGATCTGACAACCTTTTACCAGGTTAGAGCAGATAAGACAGACACCCACACGGGGGAATTTGCAGTACGTTATGCAAATAGATGCATTAAAGTGAGTGGCTTACACTGTACAGACATGATATGGAGCCAGTTAATGTCATTTAGTTCCTTTAGGACAGACGCATTACCTTATCTGCTTTAATTGGCATTAATCACATTTACAGCTTGCGTGCAAAGCCGATGGTTTCTTAATTGAATGTTTTTGAGTTGAGGAACCAGATCATTTTGTTCATGCTTGAAGATGTAGAAACGGACATGTCAGATGACAGAATATTACATATAGCTGTTAATAGCAGATTTAAATCAGTAATCATTCATTTAAGCCAGGGTTCCTCAAATCTAAATGCGCTGCAGAATTTAGCTTCAACCCTGATCAAACTCACTTGTGATTTTCCAATGATCCTGAAGACATTGATTAGTATGCTCAGGTGTATTTGATTAGGGTTAGAGCTAAACTCTGCAGAAAAGTGGATCTCGTGGGCCAGATTTGAGAATCCCTGATTTAAGTGATAGTTGTTATGTACCCATCCTCACAATTCTTCAGCACAAATTGAGGATGGGTACCCCCATCCACCCCCCCCAAATACTCTTCTAAATCCTGACATATCAGAGCATTAAACACTAACAAGTCTGCTCCTTTACTTATTATTGTCAAAAACACACAAAATAACGCCTAATTTAAATTTTTACTCTTTCAATCTAGTCCCATGCAAAGCATGCTGGGTATTTGGGTAATGTTGATGTAGATTCACTCCTCTACAAGAGCATCCAGTTATGTAATCAATTTAATATTCATCAAAACTTAAAATGGATATGACATGAGGGGAAAGCATGATGGGAACTAGAAACCCACTGTCCAATTTCAGTTAAAGCAATTTATGTAATCTCAACACAAATTAAGTAAATTGCAAAAGTAACAGCATTTTTTGAGTACATATTCTTAAAGATTGCATATGAGAGTAGATTATTCAGGTCTAAAGTCAACTAATGTAATCTGACAAAAGTTGAAAGAAAGATGAGCATCAGTTGCCGTTATAAGTTTTTCCATAGTGCAGGCGAGATGTCATTTTGTGTCTTTGTCATGTGAACACAGGCAGAATAGCACCATCTTTTCTTCCTTTTGTCTGCAAGAGATAAAAATAAGATATTGCCACAGGGATTCGAAGCAGCTTTCGCCTCCTGATGCAGTCAAGTGACCGATCACTCTGTGTTTAATTAGTCTATACTTGGATCTCTTTGAGACATTAAAACACTCTGTGGCTGGAGGTCAGTGCAGTGTCTCCAAAGCTAACTGAAATAATAAATACACATAACATGCCAGAGTGCATTCTGGGAACAAAACCCAGGTACTCGACCTCAAAGCTTTGATGGGTATATTTAATTAAAGACAGATCCTCTTTATTACATCTCTAAATAACTGACCCTCAATTCACGTCTGACTCGGAATGGATGCCTGGAGCCAAAGCGAATCGTGTGAGTGGAGCTCTGATCACAGATGTAGCTGCATGTTCTCAGAGGCCTGAAATAAGAAACATGCTGCCATTATCATTTGGCTCTGCAGTGGACAGATTGCTGTTCTGTTGTGGCATGTGCTTCCTCCGTTTGCTGATATATGGCAATTATGTTGCAAGAATGGAAATGTGAAGTCATCCGGAATTTTTGGGTAGACCATCTGAGAATATCCATGAATACTTGCAGTAGTGAAAGAGGCTTTATTGGCTCACGTAGTGGAGGATGTGTAGTGGATCCAAAATGCTTGAGATTGATGGTGAAAATGCTTCTATTTTGCATTCTTTTTCAAATGAAATGCAAAAATGTTGAGCATAATTAGAATTTTGTTTTAATGACAACAGCACCCACATTTTATGTTGCATCCACTGTATGCATTAACGGTGGGTGCTTTCAAAGCCCTTTTTCATAAAGCTTTAAAAACATAAATGTTTTATTTGAACCATTGGTTCAAAACATGTATCAAACCGGCCAAGTTAACATGTTAAACTGGCCATTTCAGCAAACAAGGCGTTGTTATATCCTAGTGTTTCGAAACTTTTTATAATTTACATGGTTTGCCACTAGGGGGCCTTGGACCTTGATGTGAACCAATGAACCAATGTCTAAATTGGTAATCGCATTTACATGTTTTGACCAGCAGGTTTTGAGCACTTTGAAATGATGAGTCATTTTGTGAAGCATTGGTACGATTGATTCAGTTTTGAAAAGCTCAATTTTTCTAGTACTGGGCCATTTTGAACCGCTGCGTCATGATGTTCTGCAGCTTTTATAACTTTGTTTCAAATCAGTGTTTCGCAGTGCGTATCGAACTAGCAAAATCATGTGATGTCAGCAAACAAGACTTTGTTACGTCATAACGTTTCAGAACGTTTTATAATTTAGATCGTTTGCCACTAGGGGGCATTAATCCCAAAGTGCACCAATTTCTAACATATGGTTTTAACTGATCTCGTGTCAGTTTTAAAATGTAGGTCAGTTTTAATGACAAACACATGTGACTAATGAAAAAAGGAGAGTGAATTGATAGTTAATTGTCTCTACTTGGCCTGATTAGCCAAGACCTTCTAAAAACACTCTAAACAAACACTGCAAGAACACAAATTATACAGCTTCATATTTAATGGCATTTAATGATTTGTAGCTTTAATTTAATAGATTAGACTTTCATGAAGACATTTGCAAGTGGTTTGTAAAATAATTATATGTTTGGGCTGAGTTATCATTGAATTTGCACATTTTAACCAGCAGGTTTCGCTAGTGTGTTGTGTTTTGAGTGTTTCGAAATAGTGAGTCGTTTTGTGAAGGAATCGGTACAATTGATTCCAATTCAAATCATTTAAAAAGCTAAATTTTTCCAGTGTTGGGCACTTTCAAATCACTGCTCCGTGAAGCTTCAAAACTATTTACGACTAGGGCTTACAGTGGATCAAACTGGCCAAGTCATGTGATTTCAGCAAATCAGCTTTTGTTATGTTGTATTGTTTCAAAGCTTTTTTTAATAATTTTTATTATTTACCTTAATGTGATCCCATGTACCGATGTTTAATATATTGTTTTGACTGATTTTGTGTGATCTTTTGAAAAACATGTTTTTTCGAAACGAATTAATGAAGCTTAAACAACATTTACAAATATTTTGTTTCAAATCTGTGTTTCAGAGCACGTATCAAACTGACCAAGTCACGTGATGTCAGCAAAAAAACCTTTGTTACATCATACTGTTTTGAAATGTTGATGGTTCACTCCTAGAGGCCATTGATATCACAAACCTATAAACCAATGTCGAAAGGTTTTAAATGATCTCAAGGTGATTTTATAATTTAGGTTCAGTTTTAATGGTAAACAAGTGTGTTTAATAGAAAAATGTGTTTTTATTAGGCTAATTATCTCTAATTAGCCTAATTAGCCAAGCTCTCTTAATAAACACACAAAACAAAAACAAAATTAATGAAGGAATACAAATTATTCATGCACTTCATATTTAATGATATTTAACTCCAACATGTCTAACCACTACTTACACTTAAAATATTACTCAGTGGAACAAACATGAATTTACAAATAATAATATTTTATAAGTGTAAATATTTAATATACAATGCACTAAAAATAACTATAATACAAGATCATGTTAGGATGATATAAACCAAACACAGTTGTTTTTGTAAAACAAATCATTTCATACAAAACAAATGATGAGTATATAATTGGAATATTTAATTGACATTATTAAATTGTTAAAAAGACAAACACAACATACAATACAGAAACTTGTCAACCCAGCACTACACTTTTGCCACTATAGACTTACATGAGGGTAATCTCACAAACGCAACATGCAATAAAAAAGCAAATTCTAAAAGTGCAAGTTTCAATGAACACTCTCCCAAACTGTTTTACACAATTTAAGACAATGAGACAAGTATTTAGTCCAAAATTTGTCTTTTCTGAGCCTGCTGCAGGGCATGATGGGCAACCAGCTTCACTACAAAGCGTTATTCATTTCTTCAGGTGGAATTTTTTTTTAAAAGCTCCAAAATTATTATTCATTCTTTTCTTTCTCTAAAACAATTATTTCAGAAGCTCACTTTTTTCCTTCATTGCTCATACACCAAATGCTATAAAAATAATCTAAGCAACTACAGCTAACTCATTCATAACATTACCTGAAAAACACACTAATATCAAATGATTTTAATATGATTACTCAACAAAACCGCTTGTACCATATACATACAAATATTAAAACATACATACATACATAAGATATTTTTTGTGTGATGTCATATTCCTTGAAATAAAATTAGAATCTTTTAATGACATCATCAGTATGAGGTTTTAATAAAATAAAATGAAGGCATGACAACCCAGCATTACAATTTTGGCACTATAGATTTAAATGAGGGTAACCACATAAACGCATACAGCAAATTCTAGAATACAGAGTCCTATAAACACCACCACAAACTCGTTTTACACCATTTAAGACGGTAACGTGAGAATTCAGTTCGAACTCAATCTCTTCGGAGCCTGCTGCAAGGCATGCTGGGTAACTGGCTGCACCAAAATATAATTCAAAAGTATTAATTTTTGTTGTTTTACAATCTCTTCTCAGACTGTCAGATTCTCAGAATGGATGCCATTGTATTTCTGTGACAATATGGAATAGAAAGAGTTTCTCTGTGAATATGGACAAATGACATTCAGATTAAGCTGTTAACTTGCAGCTCTTTCTGGACACTCAGATAAATGTCTGCTTTGATTCAGGAAAAAGCGTTTTCCTCCTTAGATTGATTCCTCCTTTCACTTCAGCTCATAATGGGGACTGGCTGACAGCGCCCATAAAAGCAACCATAATGGTGTGCTAATGACTGATCCATGAAGCTGCTTTTGTGTAAGTCCACTAGGCTATTCACGCACACTGGGAAAGTGTTGAGCATTAAATCACTATCACATGTTAATTTAGGCGCATTACACAGAATCTGCTAGCGGCAAGCACAACCTGGCTCATTGTTTAGCAGTTTCAAGGCACTTGAGCTGAGCTTGAGGGTGAGTTGCTCTGATGGTAATACACAAGCCCACCACAACAGGCCTGGGGGGTTCACATTGTTTCACTTTTAGTTTAAAAAAAAAAGTTTTTTCTCCCCCATAGAAGTTAACCTTTCATAACTCATGTAAGCGTTATTTAATCACCCCATCAATGTACTTCTTAATGCCAGTCATCAAAAATAATTTACCCACATGTGTTTAATCTACTGCAGTCAACATAATGATCCAATCTTCCTGGGCTGAATTAAACACGGGACTCGATTGCTGGATAAACTGTGATCTAATTAAGCAAATCTTCCAATGCAGAATTTAAAATCATAGTGAAACTCGCTTAAATAAAAAGGTACTGATATAGAAAACTCAGTTAGGTCAGTCTTATTTTGGATCTAGACTTTTCTTTGATACATATGCTGTGGATCACCTGGTTTCTTGTGATTCGTAAACGAATTTGAAAGGCATGGCTTTAATTGTGGGTTTTGCGTCTTTGCTGTAATGGATTCAAGCTTGAGTCCAGCCACAGATCATAAACAAGAGAGGCAAACTCATTAGCTTGTGGAGAGCTTTTATGAGAATGTTGCATTGAAGTACTTAGTTTTCAAACCTCTGTCTATTTGCATCTGTTTGAGGAAATTCAGAATCTGCTAGCGGCAAGCACAACCTGGCTCATTGTTTAGCAGTTTCAAGGCACTTGAGCTGAGCTTGAGGGTGAGTTGCTCTGATGGTAATACACAAGCCCACCACAACAGGCCTGGGGGGTTCACATTGTTTCACTTTTAGTTTAAAAAAAAAAATTTTTTCTCCCCCATAGAAGTTAATCTTTCATAACTCATGTAAGCGTTATTTAATCACCCCATCAATGTACTTCTTAATGCCAGTCATCAAAAATCATTTACCCACATGTGTTTAATCTACTGCAGTCAACATAATGATCCAATCTTCCTGGGCTGAATTAAACACGGGACTCGATTGCTGGATAAACTGTGATCTAATTAAGCAAATCTTCCAATGCAGAATTTAAAATCATAGTGAAACTCGCTTAAATAAAAAGGTACTGATATAGAAAACTCAGTTAGGTCAGTCTTATTTTGGATCTAGACTTTTCTTTGATACATATGCTGTGGATCACCTGGTTTCTTGTGATTCGTAAACGAATTTGAAAGGCATGGCTTTAATTGTGGGTTTTGCGTCTTTGCTGTAATGGATTCAAGCTTGAGTCCAGCCACAGATCATAAACAAGAGAGGCAAACTCATTAGCTTGTGGAGAGCTTTTATGAGAATGTTGCATTGAAGTACTTAGTTTTCAAACCTCTGTCTATTTGCATCTGTTTGAGGAAATTTTGTGATGCAATATGTGGTTTTATTCTCTAACATTGCATTCATTTCGTATCTGCCATTAACACAGACTTATGAGCCTTATTTCACCCAAAAATGAAAATTGTCATAATTTACTCGCCCTCATGTCGTTCCAAACCTGTATGACTTTATTTCTTCTATGGAATGCAAAAGATTTGTATGGAAGAATAATTGTCATAGTATAGTTGCCAAAAATGGTAAGTTTGAGTGCACATCTTATTCACTGTAAAAAATATATAGTATATTTTACAAATATCAGTAATTATAAATTTTTCGAGCAGCTGCACCACATGACATTTTACAACCTGAACTAACCTTGTCTTGTCAAATTATTAAAATAATAATAAGCAGTGAAGCAGTTCTGCTAAAATACTATTATTGTTCAATACACTGAAAAAAATGGTGTAGGATTCACTTGAAAAACCTGAAAAACTTTTCACGCAGAAATAGCTAGTAAATTACACAAATATTTCATGTTTAATTGTGGTTTCTTTGTATTTCTTTAAGTAGAAAATACTAGAAATAGCATTGACTCTTTATGCACTCACTACTAGAAATTTTCTAGTAGTTTTCTCTACTAGAAAATACTAGAAATAGTATTTTCTTGTAAAACCTATAATCACTGTTTTTTTTACCACTGCAAAAAAATATTTTTATAGTGTAGACTATAAAAAATTGGTGTAGAAACTTTTAATTCAGAAATTGCTAGTAATTTTACACACAATTACCAAGAAACGGCAAATAATAAATGGAATTAAAAGTGAAATTATGAAGTATAAAAACTGAATGTTTTCTTGTACAATGTACTCTAATCATTTATTTACAACAATATATATATATATACAGTATATATATATATACACAGTGTACTTGATAACGTAATGTGCTTTTCAAGTATTTTATATATACATATATATATTTCGATTTTTTTTTTTGATTGTGTACTTGTGCTTTTCATGGATTTAATGAGGGTTTTGTTTTCTTCGCCTGACATGTTTGACTTTATGCCCCCAAAAATGTCAAAAATAATTAAAATTCAGAATTTAATGCTCATTCATATGATGAGGCATATTCAGTGCTTTACAATGATTTTTGTCCTTTTTGGAGTTTGACAGCCTGTAGAAACATCAGAAACACCTATAAATAGTCAATAAAATGCTCTCTGTGTATTTGAAATCAAATAAACATGACCTTTGTGTGGATAGCACTGTCACATGCTCAAGTGTATCACTGTATCCCTGTATCTTGTACAAAGCATTCCCCTTCCTCAGCTGTTCTCCTCAGGGACTCATTCCAACCTTTTCTCACAGAGATCTCGTCGTCGTGTCATCTCCGGCAGCACTGCTTCAAACACGTCTCGTGGTCATGAGATCGCAGGCTGATTGTGTCAGTTGGGCGTGTGAGCAGATGCAGGACCCCGTGCGTCAGGACCCCGTGCTGTCCTACAGGATGCCCGAGTGACTGCGTGGGAATGTGGGCCGTTTGATCCACTCTCATCCTTTCTGCTTTTGTGAGTGCATAAAGAGTCAATGCATTGATCCAGGCCAGATATATAGGGCGTAAGGCTTTGTATTGAATTGATGCCTGGTGCACTGGCTTAATGCGGAGGGGAGATAATGGTCACACTGTCGTTTGAGTGAGAGACTGTGCTGCATGTCAAAGATGGACACATTAGAGCATATTTATTCACACAAACATTGTTTGTGTATGTTGTTCTGTCACATTTAGCCTTTCTGTAATATTTAGTACATTCCACACTACTAAATATGTAAGGGATAATGTACTGTCGCCTATTCATTATTGCAAAATAAACCCCGACAGGGTATGACCCTATAGGATTTTATTTTACAATTATAATCAACTGACTGTACATTCTCACACACACACACACACACACACGGCATAAACTGATTTTCTATCAGGTTAATGATATTTTCATTATTTTCACCTAACCCAACCCATACACCTAAACTTACCTATCACAGTTTAGAACACTAGACATGTGCAGAACACTAGATTTAAATAAAAACATATCAATTTCCTAGTTTAAAATTTCACATTTAATTAAATGTGGTGTTTGCCATTTCTTTGTAATTGTTTGTGATATATATCATTTAACTTCCCATCTTGTCAGATGTTATGTCATTTGTGCTTTAAAAGTACTAAAACTATTTTATATTTATAGTCAGTAATCTAGAAGGACCACAGTGTTTTGTTCATGTCTGTCAGTGTCTACATCAGTTTGAAGGATTTCCCCTTTTAAAACAGCTCAGTAAGCATTTGAGATCCATCCATATCCCAATAGATAACAATCTCTGCTAAGAGCCATGCTGTTCAAAGGCCTAAGCCAAGATTCAATTATCTCTTTAGTTAAATGTTCTTATGGAGGTAATTCATTTTTTCTTCAGTTCGGACGGACGGTGGCCAACCAATACACATACAGAGATAGAGATAATCCTTCAAGTGAAAGGGAACGCTTCGTTTCCCTGTTCAACCGCTTCAGACACTAACATTAGACAGCTTTTTATTACTGGATTGAGGTGATTTGGAAGAAGAAGAAGAAAAAAGAAAAATATGATTTATAATTGTACTTTTCTCTAGATTCCTCTCTCTGCAGTTGTTCCAGTCATGAGAAATGCAGGAAAAAGGCTAATTGTCACACAGGAAAGTTTCCAAAATGAATATAGTTCAGTAAGTCTAACTGTTATTGGCAGGTTCCATTGTGACAACTTTCCCCATGTAGTGTGAAATTACATGTGACCCTCTCAACTGGAATTGAATCATCTTCACAAGAAGATCGCAAAGCTTTTCCAACATTTATCCTTGTCAGTTCTCAGAAAAGAGCATTAAAATGAGTTCTGGCATATGAGTTCTTATCATGGGACATCGGTTTTGACGTTGACCCCATAAGACCTTACAGATCAGGATTTGATGTCAGTGGTTTAGAGTTGTATTTTTATTCTCATCCTTCCAAACCTCCTTTAATTTAAGGCAAAGAGCCAAGCCTAACAGTCCCACAGTGCAGCAGATGAGAGAAAGTTATCATCTGGCCATAAAATGTAGCCTATAAATCTGGTCTATATTGCTGCTCTTCAATTACCCTAGACGAGCTTGAAATTACCCTCATGTCAACCTGTTAGCACCTGATCCAATCCAGAGGTGGAGACATTTGCAGCGCCAGCGATAATGAGTATCATTGTCTCTGTCTCCCCACATCAAACGGAAACTTCACCTTTAGCTCTTTAATCGTCATGTGTGGCGTTCATGGCACTAGTTAACGCAAAGCCCCATCTCTTCAGAAAGAGTTATTTTCATAGGACCTACATTAACCTGGAGAGACTAAAATATTTAGGATGATTCCAATAGATATTGGTTCCAGTCTTCTTTTGCTGCTCTGAAAGGACACTGAAGGTACATTGACCGCAGCTGCTCAGAGCAAAATAGTAGTGTAAAGCTGATAGCGGCTCAACAATAGCGCTAGATGAGTGTCTCTTTAGCGGTAAGGGGAAGATTATCACTGTTTCTCATAGGGCTAAGGTGTGGTCACATTAGTGGATTTTCTGTGAAATTTTGTAAGGAAAATTGTCCATTGTCAATAGCCCTATCACACAAAAATCACTGTCAAACCAAACAACTTTCAGCTGGTCAGTGCGGTGAATCCATGTGACCAACTTGAACCTGATGTTGAGGAAAATATATGGGGAAATCTTCACGCAGTTGTGTGGATTCCTAATGAAATGACTGAAATTTGTCTGCAAAAACAATTGATGCTAAATGTGACTGCACCTTTAGCGTTTATGCTATGGACATCAATGATACCTCAAATTGTGCAGCAATCAACAAAAGTCATGCTGTTACTTTTCAGACTTCAGCGGCAGATAATAAAACCTCTGAAAAAGAAATTGTTTACTTAGCTCAAGTCCAAATATGCCATCTATACTATATAGTATGTGAAAATTAGCATGTTGAATGATACATCTGAATACACAATATTCATAAAATGGTGAAAATACTCGAATAACTTAATTGTTCTGCAGATATTCGGAAGCATGAATGCATTGAACACTTTGCCCATCAGGCCATGCATTGGAGAGAAGTCATCATGTGTGTAAATATCAGAGAACTGTGATACTTAAAAACACATGAAGACCATCTTTCTGTTTGCTTAGTACATCGACTCATGTTTTCTGCCCACTTTTCTGTTGAACTGGAGCATGAGCAACAACGGGCAGCAAGTGTGACCTGTACCTTTCCTCCTGTTGAAGGGACATCAGGTCAGATCCTGCAGCACCCATCAGACTGCTCCAGAGCTAATGCATCCAGTTTCACTGAAGCAGCATATGTGCACAGAAATAGACCTGTGTTATGAGTATGAATTTATGCTTCAGTATAAGGCGGATGTATAAATCAACATAGCTCTAACAAGACTGAGCGTTAATCAGCTTCATTTTCCCAGTATCAGTGCTAGGCCTGTCTTACATTTTGATCTGTTCAAAGCTATCATGTGGCTTCAAAATGGATCATTCAACCAAAAAAGACAAGTCTGTCATCATTTACTTGCCCTCAAGTTGTTCCACACCTGTTCTGTTGCGCAAAAAAGAATATTTTAAAGATCATTGATAACAAACAGTTGCTAGTAGCCATTGACTTCCATAGTATGGAAAACAGTACTATGAAAGTCAGTGGCTACCAGCGACTGTTTGGTTACCAACATTCTTCAAAATATCTTCTTTTGTGCTCAGCTAAAGAAAGAAACTCATACAGGTTTGGAACAAGTGGAGAATGAGTAAATGATGACAAAACTATCCTAAATATAGCAGTAAGGACGGTCTTTATACTACATTCTGGTACTTTGTCATCTTTTATGGAGCTATTACTAAAATCTTTTTGGTTCAAACTAAGAAATGTTGTTCCAGTATCAACAATATTAATCCAGGAACATGTCCTACTTGGCAAAATCACAGTAAGATAAGGATAAGAGGAAAGATAGATATAAAAAATGGAGAAGTGAAGACTGCAGGGCTTTCTGGCCATCTTTCATTGGCAGTGATGGATGGACGTGTCTCCTGCTGAGGGTGGAGCTGAGAGACATTTATTATTCCCTGATTCTGTTACAAGTCTCCATCCCAGCTGTTCCTTCTGTCCTCCAGCCTAAATGACAAGATCTCATACAATCAATTATAGTTAGATACAAAATCTGATCTGTGGGCTGAAGGTGGTTAATAAATATGTTTGTTTACAGGCCACCTCCACAAGAGGGCAGACTGTTGGAGGTGATTTCTGTTGAAGATGTCTACGTGTGCCAGTATTCACACTTCGCAGGTATGTATGTGAGTGTGTGTGTGGCGCTTTCACTCTTATAACATGCCCCACACAGAGCATTTGCTGAGGTTGGCAGTTTGTCAGTGCCATTGCTTAAGGCTCTGTAGCGCCAAGCGTAGAACCATTAAAAATAACAGCTTTCCTTCACCATGGCAACCAAATAACTCATCATCATAGCAGAGCACACAATAGTTTTTACAAGAGCTTTTAATTTCAAACCCATCCAATGAAAATTCCCATTGGAAAGCACCTTGGCATTTTCATAGGCAAAACATTATGTTACGATTGTAGATGATACATGAAAATAGCATCAAGAGACTGTGGGAATGAAATGAAGGGGAAAAAACAGCACGGCTAAAATCTTATGAGCTCAATTGATTGTGTGTTTATTTCAGTTGGCCGAGTCCCTCTCTGAAATGTTAAAACACTGGAAATATTGCCTCCAACAATTGCTCTCGATCTCTGTTGCCTGTCAGTTGTTGATAATTTAGCTAGTGGTTTCCACAGATCAATATGTTTGCCCTGCGGAGTGACACCAAACAGATTTGTGTGCCACGTTCCTGCCATCGTAGAATCAAATTTAGGACACTGGGATGCAGGAGTGAAATTCATATTTCAGCCCAAAATCAAAAGGAAGAATTACAAAATTATATTTTGTGGAAATAATGTGTGTGTGTATATATATATATATATCATTCAGTAGATTTTTTATTATGCTCACCAATTTAAAATTTACATTTAAAATAACTGTTTTTTATTTAATATATTTTACAATGCAATTTATTTCTGTGATGCAAAGCTACATTTTCATAACTCTAGTCAGAGAGCTGCTTACATAGCAGCACGTTTTTTCTGGATTCTCTGATGAATAAAACATTCAAAAGGACAACATTTTTACATTTAAATTAATTTTATTATTTTAATATTTTCTTTAAAAATCACTTAATTTATAAAGTGTCATTGTGTCCATACAGGATGAATATAATGATGATAATAATAATATGATTTTTTTTTTTTTTCAGTAATGAGAATTACAGAAGAAAATGTGCTAATTTCACTCAAGATTACATTAAGTGAAAGGGTTTGTTTTATGTATGCAAAATATAATTTCTTATTATTTCTTTTGATTTTGGGGTGAGGTATGACCCAGACATTTCTTTGTGAGATTCATCTGTGAAGTTCATCACATTACTCCAGTATTGCTTTGATGATTTGTTAACTTTAGTGCTTGCTTTCAGCCGAGCTTCACAAATCTCCTAAAGCTAAAGATGAGGAGAGGACGCTGGGGTCTCAATGTCAACAACCGAATTCTTGTGAAAACAAGACAGAGAGCATTGTTTTTCAATTCCAAACAATTTAACATCCAGACCAAAATGAAGACTGCGCTTGCTCATCGGTTGCTTACCACAACTGACACTGAGGTATAAACAACATACCCCATCCTGACAGATTTAAACAGTGACCACCATAGCTGAGGCACACAAAACACACTGCTCTCTGAGGCCAGAACAGCGTGAAACATTTTCTGGATGTGGTAGCAGCTGGAATGCCAGAATGTAATCATTTAAGGTGAACATTACGACCTAGTCCCTTAATCAATCCTTTATTCTGGCCTTTTGGGGTTTGATACTGTAATTTAAAGGTCTACTTTGATTAAAGTGTTTTGAGGCGATGACTAACAAAGATAATAAGACATAAAGGATCTAAACTTAAAGTCAGATTCAGAAAAAGAAACAGGGTGAGCACTTGTTTGAAGGGGTTTAGAGGCCATGAGGCTGTTTATGTTACTTATGAATGAGAGCCTGTGTTTTTATAAACTTTCGTCTGCAAGTCCAGGCCCTGACGGACCACAGATATTGAGCACCGGCAGGTCTAGCATCTGCAAAGCTGGTCTTCAAGCACTGACGAAACAAAATCACTAGCTAAAGAACTTTTTCTTTGAATAAATGTATTTTCCCTTCTTTTGAATATTTTGGTATAATATATTATGTTTTAACCCATTGCAAGTGCAGTTTACTATCTCACAGCCTCTTTCAATACAAACGTGCTGAATTTGGATTCATTAAGCAAAGCTTTTCTGCGCAGTTACTGCCATCTGGTGGTCACAATGAAGAAGCGCACCTACTATGAACAGTAGTAAAAAAAAACAAAAAAAACAATTCAGTTTAGGACTCGAGTAAAATAGTTGTGCACCTAAACACACAGGAGTGAGCCTAAAAATATTTCTTAACTTATTAAAAGTTATTTTGATATGGTCAAGTTGTTTGTACATTAATGATTGTTCAATAAACATTTAAAAAAAAAAAAGATTAGCTGCTTCAACTGTTTTTAATCAGGGTTGGAGCTAAAATCAGGAAAGTGGATGAGATCCCTTTGAGTTTTTCCCCTTCTGCTTTTTTAACGAATTAATGCAGTTACAATTATTGGAGATTAACACACACATTAACACATTGATGGTCTCACGCATGCTATCCATCTAGCAATTATCCAAAACGCTTCTTCTATGTATGAGGGGGTTTGCCTATTTAAAGGACATTTTCCCCTAACCTAATTAAATGCATCATCTTTCATATCAAATTCTTATAATTTATTAATAATTTCACTTAATATAATAAGACACTATAGGGCTGTTTCCAGTTAAATGAAATCAAATCAGTATTAACAAAACCGATCTTTCCACTGCAGAAGAAACAAGCAGCTGAAGTGGCATTTAGATGCATTTAAACAAAAAGTTTAACTGTGCTGAAATGTAGTGTAGGAAACTTTTTCCTCGTCGAAGCAGAGACCAGGAGACTCTTGGGTATCTTCAGCAGTTCTTTGTTGAGAACGCGCTGCATGGCGCTGCAGTCATCAAAAGTCTGACTAAGGCAGTAATACATTGTAGTTTATATACATTTCTTCACCTTAGTTTTTCATGTGATGCTATGTCAGAACATAGGATCAGCATATTTTAAACAGATTCTTAAATTTGTAATCCCACAGTAGCATGGATGCATTTACACTGCAAAATTACAACAGCATACATAATGTTATGAGCTTGGTGTTTTAAACCAGTTTATATATATATATATATATATATATACACACACACACACAC